TATACTATATTCAACTAGTGAGCATATTTAAGTGTGTGTTTTGCGCTCGTCAAATTTGCCAAAAAACAAAATAAAAAAAGCATACAAACCCGAACAGAAGAAAAAGAGCAGGTACGAGTAACAGAACTAGCATTTCATACTTAGAATATTTTTTTTACAAAGGCTCGAATACACGCCTACAAAAAATATATACATAAGTCTGCGGCTAAACAAAAAGGAAAGAAAAAACAACTAATCACCGCCTGGCCCAGCAATTCCATCAGCTTGATCGCCTAGGCCTTCTCTATCTGCCTCTTCGCCATTGCCATCGCCAGCGGGATACTCATGCTCATACCAGGAATCCTGTCCAATCCGATCCATGCCCACACCATCCTCGATATCACCGGCCTCTGGTGTAGCGGGATCTTAGCCTCTGAAATAGTTCCCGTCCCATCGGATCTCTAAATATATCCAGCTGGGCCTAGGCGTGAATCCATTCCTCGTACAAATCCCGCGAAACGTCAAGAAAAGCAGAAGTACGGGAAGAAGACGGCCGAGCTAATAACCGCGCCTTCTCGGTCTCGAGAGGAGCAACTCGATCACAAAGGCCTGAAGCCTCTTTTTTTAGCTCCCTTATCTTTTCATTAAGCCGCTCCTCTTTGAGCATGGCCGTCTCCAGATCACTCTCCCTCTCAGAATGAAGAATGCGGATCACGATATCCAAAGCCTCCGCTTTCCTCGCAGCCCCTAACCGGGCCAACTCCGCTCCTCTAAGTTTGTTGCCTTCTTAGTGACCTCACCACTTAGAGCGTCTGCTTTGAGTTGACACTCCTCGAGCTCGGCGTGCAATGAGACCACCTGGGCTTGAAGATCGGCATATTGAGCCTCGACCCCCTTGCTCACCTCGAGCTTTTCTTCTTTGTCTCTTAACGCCCCCTCAAGGATGCTGCATTTTCTGATGACTCCTACTAACTCATCATCCTTCTCCTTCAGTTCATCTCAAAGAGCCCGAAAATTGCCGCTCTCACCGAACCGTCTGCAAACCTCACGGTGCTTGTCATGGTATTCACGATATTTCCGCTCCATCTTCTGAAAAATAGCCTTACGCCTATCCTCTCGTCGGGCACTCTCAATCTCCAAAATCATAGTCTGAAAGAAAGAGAAACATAAAACGAAGAGTAAGAATGAAGAGGGATCGAAAAAACTTACCCTAAGAGCGAGGCCGGCTATGCTCCTAGATAAAGTGGCATCCTTATACTTTTCAAGGTTTTACCCTCGACATCAGAATAGAGGGGACCAAGAGAAGGGACCATGTCCTCCGTGTCAACCAGCAAATCCCGATCCATGGGGATCGCAATAGTCCGCATGGTCCCCTCCAATCTCACCTCAAGTCGGGTAAGTCCCCCCCATCATCCTTACCTCCTTGGTAGACATATCAGAGCCCGTCTCGTAACCCTGCTCGGCTACGCATTTTCCTTTTATGTCAGCCCTTGAAGACGGCTCATCCTGGCGCAAGTCGTCAGAGACTCTCGCCGATGGCCCTTCAAATTCCATCACGGTCTCAAGGAGAGATGTGCCCTCTTCGGCTTCAGATGATGGCGGAATCACGGGCGGTAATTCAGCGTCATCTTCAAGATCAATGGTCGCCGTCTCTCAGACGACGAAATCCCCCATCACCGAATCCACTGCCCGGGCAGCTCCCTCGCCGACGTCCACTGATCTCCTCTTGCGGGGAAGCAAGTTTCCACCATTCGGCGATGATTCCTCTTCATCGTCCTCGTCTACTAGATGATGCAAAGTGGAAGTCGGGAGTTCTGCTGTAGATGTAGTCGACGACCGAGCAAACCTAGCCGCGACAGAAGAGGGAACAGAAGCAGACAACCGGACATGCCTGGTCGCAGTCATAACGGGAACAAACTCCGATAGCAACCTTCCTCTTATGAAATGCAGGAGCAGGAGCCCTCGGAGTAGGCGCCCTCGGTCTCCTTGAAGATCCTCGAGCTGAAAAAGAAAGATTAAAAGATAGTCACTTNTTGGCTGACCCAGCCATGAATATCCCCGGCCAAAGGAGATGGGCGTAGTCTCGGCTGCACGAAGAAGAGACGGAATGTCAGACTACAATTAAAAATGACAGAACAAACGCTTGGTAAAAAAGGGATACTTACGGGAGAAATGCCAAGTCTCAGGGAATCTACGCGTGTTGACCACCACGTCCTCGGTCTTGACGAAAAGTAGTTGAGCCAGAACTGGCGATTTGCCTTGTCGTCCATCTTCACCACCAGACATTTACTTCCTCGGTGGCAAAGGTGCAACATCGTCCCCCTATAAAAACTCGGGGCAAAGAGATGCATCAGGTGGCGGAGTGTGACCCTGACCCCGACCCCAACCCCAGCCAACTCCGCATATTTCGTCAACATACGAATAAACTTGTAGATGTATGGAGAGAGTTGGATCGGGCAAATGCCATAATAGTGGCAAAATTCCTCCGCCAATGGGAGAAGAGGAAAGGAATAGCCAATGTAGAAAGGATACGCATAGAACGCGCAATACCCGGGGCAGTGTATTTGTACCACATCGCGCCCCGGTGGGATCAGATCGATATGGGCAGGAATTTTAAACTTTGCCTTAAGCTCAGCGAGATCGACCTATTTCATCGATGATTCCGAGACCTCAGGTATCTTCGAAAAGTTGGACCTAACCTTTTCACTACGATGGACTATATCCTCCACCGTAGGAAAATTCTCGTCTTCAACGGCGTCAGAAACACTATCTCCATGAGGAGGCATACATACCGCCAAAAGGATAGGGTCAGTTGCCATGCCGGAACTAGTGGGTATGTTAACCATATTTTCGAGAGAAGATATTTTAAGTACAGAAATGTTAGAAGCAACGATAATCACTAAAGCCAGAGAAAAGTTTCGAACAATGGAGGAAGAAGAAGATACAGAGAGGTCTCGTAAAGGTTGGGAACGTTACCCACACACCCCTATTTATAAGGATGCAGGCATCGAAACCAAGGAACTAGACATAGTTACATGGCACTGTAACCGAAGCGGCAGACTCAATCAGGAAACGCATGCGAAACGAAGCAACGTCTCGGGAAATCTCGTCATAATGACATCAGCCGCCATGATGTCACCTTGATTTGTGGGATTTACAACCCAGAACTTGTGGCTCACAATGGGACACGTTGTCTACTCACCCCAATCATCACGACTCGTTTACATCATCTAAACACTTCGGCCACGTTACACAATATCTACTCATCGAGCCCGCCTGAGGCCGACCTCAATAAGTGGAGTGACTAACTGTATATATAGGCCAAAATCCGCCACTAAAATATTTAGGGTAATGTATCGTTAAGGAAAGAATCAGTCGAGGACGTCCAGGGGATAGCGAGGTTGCGGCAAAGAAAACAGTGATAGTCGAGGTCGAGCATCGTTGATGGGATAGCAACGGCTAGTTTTCGAAATAAGATATTAAAGAGAATATTCTAGTGAATATTCTCTGCACGAGAATATTCTAGTGGATATTCTCTGCACTTGTACTATTAAGGTTTGCTAGGGATACGTGTAAAAGATATAAGGAAAAAAGAAGAGAAAAGAAAAGGAAGAATATTCATTTTGATAAGAACACTTTTTGAGAAGAAATTCCCTCTCTCTGATAAAGATACAAAGATTACCTTTTGATAAAGATTCTTGTTCCTATTATTCCATACCTTTTCGCCAGATATCCGAGGATCGTCCGAATAAATCTTGGGTCTTTCTGTCACTCATCATTGGCAGGAGAAATATTCGTCCAATCTATCCATTATTGGGTGAATCATTTTTCCTATTTACTTTAAATGACATTTATTACTATTTGTTGCTAGTTACACCTCCATTATTGCCTATACTTTAAGAATATTTTGTATTTATCGTCATCAACCCTTTGTGGAATCTGTCTCATCTCCCACACGCTTCCGAGATTTATATTTAATGTTATTATCATTAACTAGATTTAACTAAATATTATTTAAATTTAATAGTTTAGCCAAAAATTACACTTTTTGTTCAAAAGAAGGGATGATCTCAAGAGTTGTAAGGCCATCCTAGCAGGTTATTGTAACATTAAATTTCGACGGATCCACCACAATAACTTGTGGAGGAGGAATATTTGTACTTTCTGTATAGTGTATACTGTTTATTTATGTAGGTCCAAAAACAATGAGACACTAGAAATCTAACCGCATTGAGTGCTTGTAACCCCACCTAGCTAACTTCATGAAATCTTGATTGGAGCCATGGTAATAAGAGGAATATTATTACTGGTACTGCAGCTGTATAATTTGGTTGGTAGATTATGCCTTTTTGCCGGGTCCAACAAGGAGAAAGAGTTAGGGGTCGTTTGATTTTGGGATAAAGATACTAATCTCACATAAAATTTGGGATTGCATTTATTCCATATTTGACCAGTTATGAGGTATTAGCTAATACCAATATAAGTTTTTGTACCAAGAATCTTGGTTTTAGCTTCACATTAGATATCCCAAAATTATAATCCCGTGATTATTAATCGCTGAATATTTTAGACTAGAGCCAAATGGCCCCTTAAAGAACTACACAAGTTACCTAGATCATATATATACAAATAGGAAGAGTATATATTGAGAAAGAAGCCAAAACATATCCATTTGAAATCCAAGCTTTCTTGCTATGTCACATGTTGTGTACTGTTTAGTAATTATTCAGCTGAATGTGACAATCCAAAAGGGGACCAGAAAACAAGATTTTAAAAAAAATATTATATAAGAGAAAGAGAGAGAGAAGCCAAACTTAAACTGAAGCCCAAATTCATTCTCGCACAGAAAAAAGGAATAGACTCTACTCAATCAAAAGAATCATCATGAGTCACTGTACGGTACCAACTTGGAATCCAAGGCACCAAAGACAAGAACAAGCAGTAGAAGCAGAAGAGCCTAACAAATACCCTCACGTGCATAATCAGCAGAATCAGATTAATCATTTTATGCCCATGTATATATGCTCCCTTAATTACCCTTCAATTCTTAGAACAGTTTTCTTGAGCTCCTTTTCTAGCTTCAGTCTTCTTATCTAATTCACTCTTTGATCAAATAATCAGATTTTTCAGTTCAGTGAATTCAGCCCAAAAAAAAAAAAACTGGAACTACGTACAACTTGGACAAGTTTGTGCTGCTTTCAATTCATCCTTCGGTACTGGTCCGATACGTGTTATAGGTCACAAGTTAAACCCGTCGAAACAACCGCTAATGCTTGCATTAGGGTTAGTTGTTTACATCACGCCCTTGGGATGTGGTCCTTACCCGGATCCCACGTGAACGCGAGATACTTTGTGCACCGGATTATGTTGCCCTTTATTCTTTTCTTGATTTACATGTAGTGTGCTTGGGAAAACATTCGTGAATATTCCTAGCAATATTGTTACATCCTCTTGATGATTAATTACATGCTTAATATAAATAAAAAATTTCAGGTCCAAGTGTGAAAAAGTTGCAGAGCTGACATGGGAAAACCCGCAGATAGGAATGCAAGGAGTTGGGGGCATCCTCTCCATGTCCCAAACAAAACCAACAATATTGGGAAGAGCCGGCGATACATTAGAGTCTATCGTGCATCAAGCAACATACCACGGGCAAAATCAGACTTCAATTCAAAATTATGGCCAAAATCAGAATCTGAAATTCGGGATGTGTGTAGGAAAATGGGGCGAGAGTTCGCAACATCAAATGGCGCCTCCTCCTTCCACACGTACAGGAGGAGCAACAGTGTTGGCTAAAAAGAGGATGAGATCAGAATCATATGGTGGAAATTTAGTAGGAGAAGATGAGTATGAAGAACGTAGCGCATGTGCAAGTGCCAGCGCTACGTTCTGTAGGGAGAATGACACCACTATGGTGACATGGCCTTCATTTGATGAATCTTCTCGTAGCATTAAATCCAAAACCACTTGTGACGAGGATTCTGCTTGTCACGATGGTGGCTCGGTAAGCAAATTCTACTAACATCTTCTTGTACTATATTAATATATCTACCTCTAGAGAGAATAAAGCTCGTTAGTAGTCCGGTACGGTTCGGCTGAACCCAATAACTTTTGTTCTAACATTACAATTATATTAAGAAAGTCATTAAATGTAAAAAAAAAAAATATTAAGCTTAGAACCTGGTTATCAACACTTGAAATCATCGTTCTAAAATCCAGAACCCATTAGATTAATTAAAATCCTGGCACCGCCTCAGGAGAATATGTCATGTAAATTTGATTGCAAATAGAATATTTCGCTTGTAGCAGGAAAACAAGGAGGAAGAACATGAAACAAAAGGATCCAACTCATCAAGACGCAGCCGAGCAGCAGTTGTTCATAACCAGTCAGAGCGGGTATATACACACTTTTCATTTACTCTGCCTAATTATAGGTCTTACATGAACATATGTAGCTACGTACTAATAGCATATTGTTGTGTTGTTTTATTGTTTGGTACAGAGACGTCGAGATAGAATTAACCAAAAGATGAAAACTCTGCAGCGGTTGGTACCAAATGCAAGTAAGGTGCGTTATATATAGTCACATACGTAATAATTAATAACAGTAGTGAACATCAAATTGAGCCTAGCTACCCAAATTTTGATACAACTAATGTTGAATTGTGCAGACAGATAAGGCATCAATGCTTGATGAGGTAATAAACTACTTAAAGCAGCTACAAGCACAAGTTCAGTTGATGAGCAGTGCAAGAAACATGGCGCCACAAATGATGATGCCGCTCGGAATGCATCAACATATTCAGATGTCACTACTAGCAAGAATGGGAATGGGCGTTGGTCTTGGTATGGGCATGGGAATGTTTGATATGACTGCTTTAGCTCGCGCTGCTGCTCCTCATCAGTCTCTTACAACGCATTACCCCATTCATACAAATCCGATCGCCAATCCCACTAATCCATTCATCCCACCAGCCTTCGCCATGCCTGCAGCCCCAGCTATTCCTTCCGCCGCACAAGCTAATACTGTCGGCAGGGCGACAACTGCTGTTACACCGGCCCCCTATAGCGCTTTTCTAACGCAAGTAAGCAGTCTAATTACTTCTTCATTGTTATTGTTAATTAGTAGATCAAGCTAAGTAATTAGAAGATGATCAATATATGTTGAGACACAGTATACATCAAAATTAATAGTGTGTTCTCACTAATAATTTAAGTGTTTGGACGAGATATTTTCTACAAAGGTGGTTAATTATTAGCATATACAAGAATCTTATCGTCATTGAACAGAAAATTCAACATGTTTGGCCCATGAAAAGGCTCAGACCCGCATGAGGGGCATATTGAGACATATTATATAATTAAAAAAAAAAGGCAGTGTCTGGTGCACTAAGCTCCTGCTATGCACGGGATTTAAGGAAGGACCGGACCACAAATGTCTATAAAAATTTAATATTATATTATTAAGTACTCCCTTATTAGACGTGAAATCTTTTTAACAACTTATATAAGCTTTAATTAGATGAAATGTTCACAAGATTAACATTGTTTTTATATTCTAGTATATATTGAGAAGATTTTATAGTGATTTACAATCTTTGTTTTACGTTTTATTATATGGTTACGATGTCGACAGTCAATGGACACGGAGTACTTCAACAACATGGCAGCTTTGTATCGGCAGCAAGCTAATAATCACTCTACGCAGACAACAGACAGCAAACTCAACCAGGGAAATCTCAATATCCAAGGCCAAAGGGAATAGAATATGACAGTTTATGTTATTTTATGATATGAACTTCTTATTTGTGTCGAAGAATTGCAAGGCTATTAGATGACAATATATTGCTCATCGAATATCTTTCTAGAGTTGACAAGAATTGATGTGCATGCAGTTGTATAAACTTTGTATTCAGTCCAATATAAATGGTAGTTTAATGTACGTATGCGTAACAATTTCAATATTCTACCATTTCAGAAAAATTCTTAGCTTTGTCAACGATCAATATTCGCGGTCATCTGAAATGAACAGAGCTTTAAAAAAAGATATTCCCTTTGTTTTATTTTATACTCCGTTTTGTTTGACTAGAAACAAAATTTAATTTTTTTTAACACATATAAAAAGTATCTTTAGAACTTATAGTCTTATTCCGTAAAATTATCAGCAAAATACCACCTTGCTTCATTACTCCCGAAGAGAGGGCAGTGCACTAAGTTCTAATTTTCCTCAAACAATTAAATTTAAAAAAAAAAGAAAAGAAAAGAAAAAGAAATAACTGTTTCATAAAAACTGCCGACAAAGTTTTTTAATGTGAAGCCAGAAGAAGCTATTTTTAAATGAGTTTGGTGAAGGTCATTCTCAACTCTCAAAGTCTCAAGCAAAACATCAACACATTCCTCTCTTCATTGAGCATTAATTCACTAATATACGAAATGGGGTCACAAATTTGAAATCAGAGGAGCTTCTCCACGAGTCATGACCTTTTGTTTTCAATCTCAATAAGTAGGTAATGAGAAAATTACTCTAAAATTGAGAATGTCCCTTTTCACTCAAATTGATATCATCATATTTGAGTGATGTTGTACACATTACTTTTCTCACACCCAACAATGTTGAATAATACGTATATTATTCTTGTTGTTGTTATCATCATGTTTACACGACTTTTCCGTCACAATCTATATGTGGATGTTTTGAAATGTTTGAAACCATTATACTAATTGTAGAATTACTTTATACAAACTTCAATTAAAAAACTCACTTAACTATTTGAATTTTAAACATTAATATGATGCTCTTATTAGCTATCAATAACTTTCTAACCATTAATTTACTCTTACTTATGGTTATAATTCTGTATTACGAGCATAACATTTGAATTAACATCTTGAACTCTGATACATGGTTGAATAATGTCGAATAAAATCGGGTGAATGAGAATTATTCATTTTAGCAAACTCCTTTCTTATCAACACATGAAGTTGTTTCTCTCTCCAATGGTTGAACCTCGAATTTTAATGAGATTCGAAAACTTTTGAATTTGTAACCTGAAGCAATTTTCAAACTAACTTTGTCATTACAAGGGAATTCAAAAGTTAATATAAAAAAAAATCATTTTCACCCTATTATATTTGTGCTGAGGATTCAATTGAACCCTTACCTTTCTCGGTTGTGGCTCCGCCACTGCGGCTCTCTCCCTCGAAAGGGAACGAAAAACAAAAGACCAGTGGATGATCTTACAAAGATTTTTGTGGGTTCTAGTCGAAGCAACGATGTCACTTGATATGACTATCTATAAATCGCAAATGGGATAAATCAAATTCAAGAAATGAAGGATGGTTACGTGAATTCATTTTTGCAACTAAATTTTTCCCATTTAATAATGATGACGTTGAAGTTGAGGCCATTGTTAAAGTTGGACCATTCGCATCTTTGTCACAGGCTGGACCTAATTGAAACAGTTGAATTGTTTTCTAGATCTAGTTTTACTTTCATTTTTTCTCCCCATGTTTCTTGTGAAGTTTCAAAATGTATTTGTACAAACCAAAATAGATATTGAACTTTTAGATTATCAATTGTTGCATCACAAACTAAAGACCTTACGACTTACGAGTAGTAAGCATATAAACATGCTTTGCAGATTACCTAATTTACAGACTCACTTATTCTGGACTTAACAGAGATCAATGTTTAAAAGTAGGGGTGTACAAAGAAAACCGACAACTCGCATCAAATCATCATCCGAGTCAAACCGGAAAAAAAAAACCTGATTATGATTTAGTTTGATTTAGTTTGGTGATAGGAAAAAAATATCGACCATAATTGATTTAGTTTGGTTTTAATTAAAAAAAGTCAAACCGAAACCAAACCAACCCTACAAGTTTTTAAAATATTTTATACATAAAAATAATCATTGTAATGTAATGTATAAATATTTTTTTAAATAATTTCATAGCTCTCTCTTTTAATGTATTATTTCAAGTTTGGACTTAGAATTTTTGAATGGTCAACTATGTTTTATAGCTTAAAAAAGTTAGTAACTCAAATGAGGTCCAAAGCAAAATTAAATCAATATTAATGCTAACCAAAAAAAAAATATCAAGTCAATACTAGGAATGACAATATTGTTGGATATTGTTTTTTGTTTTGCATTGTTTTATACATTAATAACTTATTTTTATTATTACTTAGTCATGTAATTAATACTTAGTACTTATTAGTCCTACTTATTTTATCATGATTTGGTACTTTTAAATTATATTTATTTTTATTTTGGCTTATTAATTAGCAATATTTATTTTATGCAACTTGTCTGAGTATTTTAGTATAATATCATGACTCATCTCACATTATTTTGTATTATTTTTTCGGATAACATCTCATATAGTTTTATCCTACTATGACCAAAAAAATATTAAAGTATAAGTTATATATTTTATGCTAAGAAGAATTTATCGGTAAAATTCGAAAAACCCAAGAACCTGAGAAAACCGAAAAATTCGAGAAAAATCGAGATTGAAAACCCGACTTTTGTTGGTTGGTTTATAAATTTAAAAATCTGAGATAATTGGTTTGGTTTGGTAATTGAAAAATCCGAACTAACTCGACCAATGTACACCCCTATTTAAAAGTATATGAGTGATCATTGAGTTCGCATTTTATTTACTAACCCGACCTGCCTATATTTGAGCGGGTAAAATGGGCGATATTTTTTCCCCTCCATAGAATTAGGGGTGGGCATAGTTTCGGCAAACCCAAAATCCAAACCGAAATCCGAATTTTTGGATTTTTTTGATTTGGGTATTCGGATTATGGATTTAATTTTTAAATTTTTTAAATTTCGGATTGGATATTGGATTTGGTACTTTGAATTTTTGGATATCCGAAAATTCGAAATTCTTATACTTTATATTTAGTCCATTATCCATATGTCAATAGTAATAAATTTAATACCCTAACCACTATATATTGTCACAATCCAATTTCACCTATAGGTCGTGATGACGCCCAACACTATAGCTAGGCAAGCCAAGCTAATAAATTAAGCATATATTAACAAAATTTAAAAACCAAAAAAATAATAAAACCCAAATTCTACTAATGTGTGTGCCAAGACCTGGTGTCACAAGTGTATGAGCATCTAGTAGATTATACAAAACCTCATATACTGTCTGAAATAATATAGACAGAATGAAAAATACAAGGAGAGACACTAGTAGCTGCAGAACGGCTCAGAAAGACAGCTCACCACTATGCTCCTGGATAACGTGGGTGTAAGACGATAGGTCCCCCACTAGTACTTGCCACAGGTCCTGCACAAAAAGTGCAGCAAGTATAGTATGAGTACGTAAACAACGTGTACTCAGTAAGTATCAAACCTAATCTCGAAGTGGTAGAGACGAGATGGCCGACTTTGACACTCACTATGGGTCAATAATAATAATAAAAATACAACTAGGATATTCAAATAAGCATGATTTATAGAATTTAAAATAATTTATTTAATCAGCGGAAATAATCAAATTCCTTCAAATGCAGCAATCCTCAATATATTAATTAGATTCCTTCAATTCAAATAATTTTCAATTTATCAATTAATCTCATTTACAGGAATAACAATTTATTTCTTTAACAAGCAAGAATAATAATTCATTAAATTCCAAGAATTTTGCAATTTATCAATTAGCTTTACAAGCTGAAATAACTATTAAAGTATCGTGTAATTATTATTATTAAGCACGATTTCTGCCGAGGACGTATGACCCGATCCAGAGTGTCGTGTACACTGCCGAGGGACGTGCGGCACGATCCATAGATGCATCTATCCTGCCGAGGCGTTCGGCCCGCTCCACAAGAAAGGAGGACATTTTATTATGTACCTCCGGAAGGAGAGTATATTTATTATAAGATAAATTCGGGAGGATGAACAATTTCTTTTAATAATTAATTAATTTAAACAGAAAATCAAGCATATGAGATTTTCATCCTTTAATATCTTTATCTAACAATTCACAATATATTCATATATAGCAATTAATATTAATTAAATAAAGAGTATATTTTACACAAGTAATTCATGCTTTGAGTCCTAAACTACCCGGACTTTAGCATTTATAGTAGCTACGCACGGACTCTCGTCACCTCGTGCGTACATAGCCCCCACAATTAGCAATAATTATTTATTTTAATCCCTATGGGGTAATTTTCCCCTCACAAGATTAGACAAGAGATTTACCTCGTCTCAAAGTCCACTTCCCGATTATCGCGTCGCGTAAAATTTTCGATTCAATGCCGAAAATCCGAAACTATCCAAAAGTTACATAAAATAATTAATATATATTCAATAATTCGAAATTCATCTATTAAATAAATTACCCTATCTAAAATGGTAAAATTTCTAAAATTCACCCCGGGCCCACGTGCTCGGATTCTGGAAATTTTTGGATGAAAACATTACCCATAATCTCAATAACTCGAATATAATTTCTACTCAATTCCATAACTATTTTCGTGGTTAAAATCTCACTTTTATAAAAAATCTAGATTTTTTTATCTAAACCCTTGATTTCTAAGATTTACTTGTTATAATCTACCCATAATCTATGTATTTAACTCAAGGGTGTAGAATTAACATACCTCAAAGTTGTTAGTTGAAATCTCCTCTCAAAAAGCTCCAAATTTGCCCAAGAATGAAAGAAAATGGGCAAAAATGGTGAATTCCCGTTCTTTCAAGCTTTCTGCCAAATAGGACTTTCGCACCTGCGGAAAATCCTTGCAAGTGCGAGTTCCACTTGCCTGGCCAATTCTCGCATTTGCGCACAAAGCTTCGCACCTGCGAGTTCGCAGGTGCGCAAATTCTCCGCATCTGCGGTCGGTTTCCCCCTTCCCTTTTTTTCACTTCTGCGCACAAAAACTTGCATCTGCCAGGCTCGCTTCTGCGAGATACTGCCGCACC